GATCGCCGAGTGATGGTAGGTTAAAGTCCCCCAGTACTATAAGTCTGGGGAACTCCACCGCCAACCGAGCTACTGACTCCAGCAACGCAGGCAGGGCTGTTGCAACGCAGCTGGGAGGTAGGTACGTCAGCAGCAAGCCCAACTGAACCCGTGAACCCAACTTCAATAGGAGGGACTCACACCCAACAACCTCCGGGGCAGGAATCCCACGAGGACTCAAGGACTTCCGAGTGATGACTGCCACTCCCCCACCCCTGCCCTGATGTCGAGGCTGATGAAGCACCACAAACCCGTCCGGCACATCTCCGAGAGGGAAACACCCCCCTAAGGGCCCAGCCAGGTTTTGGTTATACATGCCTGGTCCGCCCCGCTGTCCAATATTAAATCATGGACAAGGGGGGCTTTGCTGACAACGGATCTGGCATTAAGCAACAGCAGCCTACAATTAGGGCCCTGTACTCCCCTGTCACCAGTACTACAGGATGAGCCTTTTGAGGGGCCAGAACAAGGAATCGCTCTAACATAACGAGTCCTCATTCCCCAAAGATGGCCTGCCCCTCGGCTCCTGCCATATCTGCCCATCCCAGTCATAACCGGGATGCTCCAACCTTCTCCCCTCCCCGGAGTACCCCCACCCTCACCAGCCTTCTCCCTTCCTGACCGGACTAGCTTTCCATACAGACCAAGCCCAAGGGTAAGTCTTGCCCCCCCCTACTTTTGCTATTGCACTCAGCAGAGGGGGTACCAGGCTCCGCCCCTGACTCCACCATTCTCATACCCCAAACACTCAATACACATTCACACTCAATTTATATACATAAAGATAAAAATATTCACATTCATACGCCCTAAATACAATAATAAAATTTATACATAACAGGGCCACCATTCATCTACATGCATACACACACCCACAACAAACATTCTCTAAAAAAAATAATATTGCCCCTCTGTGTCCCAGGCTGGTCCAATGTGGCCAGCTAGGTGACGCAGCAGTTAGAGTGCAGTACTGCAGGCCACTTTAGCTGACTGACTGTGTTCAGCAGGTCAGCGGTTCAAATCTCACCGGCTCAAGGTTGACTCAGCCTTCCATCCTTCCGGGGTAGGTAAAATGAGGACCCAGATTGTTGGGGGCAATGTAAATATATATATACATTGCTTACTGGTGTACACTGCTTAGAGAGTGCTTGCACTTAAAGCGGTATATAAGTCTCATAAATAAATAAATAAATAAATTAGGTACTTGTCTTAGGGCAGACCGTACTTGGCCTTATGCTCCTCAAAGAGCTGGGTCAACTTCTCCAAGTACCTCTCGTGCAGTTCATCAATGGCTTCTCCGGACATCCAACAATTGTGTAAAGTCAACCCAGCCACGGCGGGACGGCTAGTCAAACTGGGGCTCCTTAAAGCTGAGTTGGTTTCAATTGCTGGGATCGCAGCCGGGAATGGAGAACGTAACAACACCTCTGAGCATGTACAGAGTAGATTTCTAGGCCACAAGCTCGCCTCTCCCACTCCTTTCACGATGTAGCACTCGATGACGGGCCCGAACTCCTGGAAGAGGACGCGCAGCTCGCCGCTGGTGCAGGCGGCCAAGACGTTGCCCACAAAGGTCTTGATGGTGTGGGTGGGCCTCGGGCGGGAGAACTCCACGACCCCGCGGTGGCAGTGCAGGAGGTGCCCGTTGAGCTTCTGGATGGCGCGCTCGGCCGCCGCCTCGTCGCGCAGGTGGATGAAGGCGAACTCTTCATGAGGGCCACCTTCACCACCATGCCCGGCACGGCCGCCTCGAAGAGGTCACGCAGCTCCACCCGCGATGCCCCCCTGGGCACGCCGCCCACGAACACCTCCACGCCCGGCTGCACCGGGCCCGCCCATCCCGAGGAGGCCCGGAGAGAAGGAAAGAAGCCAGACGACGTGGACCCACAAAATGGCGCCCGAGAGAGAGACGTGGCCCCCCCTCTGGCAACAGTCCTTCTGCCTCTTATGACCTGGCGGTCAATCATCCATCTCCATTCAAGACAATTAAGAGATGAAAATACAAACAAAGCAAATTTAGCAACACATAGACAGACTACTTCCTAATAGTAAAAGCGGTTTGATCATGGGATCAAACGTAATAGGCTCTTATTTTTGGGAAATATATGAAGAGAACAGGCTGCATCTGTCAACTATATAGTTATAAGTATAGGTAAACTATATAATTCAGGATGGCCCAAATCTGCCCAAGTGTTTCAATTTGCCGTTCTCATCCCAATACCATTGTGAGGCCCATGTAAGTTCCTTTCCCAAAGTGCTTCCCCCAGAGCATTCCTTCTTCTGGGCAGTAGCTGTTTTCCCCCAAGCAATCTCTGCCCCATCATCCCTTTGTTAAAGGCACGAGATAGGCAGTGTTAATTCTAGACAGAAGCTCATAGGAGACACTGTTCCCAAGGATGTTCAGGAACCAAATACTCAGTCCTTCAGGAAAGTAAAGGATGGGTTAAGTCTACTTCTTTGCATTGGCTTGAAAGTGCCCCCTCCCCTTACAGCTTCTCCATAACAACATCTGAATGAAAGACAAAGGGTGAGGTTTGGTCAATAAAATCATCTAGCTTTCAGAAGGAAGCCTGGTGATCACTCTGCCCTTGGGCAAGATCTGGTTTTCCACCTCTGCTGGAATTTCATCTTGTCTTTTAAAGTCTCTATTAAGTAAGAAGGGGATTCAGATAATCTCCAAAGTTTTTTCAAATTCTAAAATTTTAGGATACTCAATATAGCTGTTCAACCACCTTGACTTAGTACATAAAAAAATAAAGCTCATTATTCATGACAGATGTCCTTCAACAGACATTCTTATATCATATATATCAATTTGATTCTTATCAATATAGTGCAAAATATTTTATAGCGTTTTAGTCTTATTGCTTATACACACTGAAGATAAGGTTTCCCTGTCAGTGAAAACTTACAACATAACCCTATTCTTAAGGTCTGAACCAACAGTAGGCAACTTGTGGCACTCCTGGTACTGCCCAATGACAATTCCCAATATTCCTACAAAGCACAGCCAACTATGAGGGATTCTGGAACAGTAGTTTAGCAATGTTGAAATGGCTGTGGGTTGCTTGATACTTTTCTAAAACAATTGTTTCTCCCTGTCTTCTGCAACTGATATTCATATCAGCTGCCTCCAGATGTGTTGAGTTCCCAAAATTCCTAGCCAACACATCTGGAGTACACCAAGTTAATAAAAGACTGATTCAGAGGAATTCTGTAGCTGACCTAACAATTTTATTTTGCCAAAACATCCATTCCTTTTCCAGAGACATCATATTCTGTACCTTTAGCATTCATGCACTTTTGGGTGGGGAAAGGATGATCTTGGATTAGAAAAATGAAAACAAGCACAGTTGAGTCAAGTACCTAGTGAAACTTATGAACTGTAGATAAGAACAAGAGACAGGATATGTTTCCAAGGCTTAAGTAGAAGGAAGGGCTTGTACTTTGCACAAAACTTTTTGACAGTAAGAGAAATTCATGAAGGGATGCAGTGACCTAAAAGGAAGAAGTAATTGGTTCTCCCTCGCTAGAGGTTTTCAAACATAGGCTCAGTAGCCATCTTTTAAGAATATTCTATCTATGAATTTCCTTCACTGGGCTGGAGTTTGGATTACATGGCCTTCAAGATCGCATCCAATTGTATGCTTTCTTATCATCCACAGTTCAGTTTTAAAGCCATTGAATTTAATTATTTTCCTAATTGTTATCATGTGCATAAACCCAAAGTTTGCTCAAGGCAAATGACAGATTATAATAAAATTAAACTGAAATATATAGCAACTTAATGTCACCTTGCACTGTGAGATAATTGGCATATAAAATTGATACAAACAAACAAATATACAGAAATAACTAGCCAAAATGGTACGTATGGCTTCTTTCCTAAAAACTTAAGAGATTGGAGACAAAATGGAATGGATTCAATAACTTGGAAGTAAGATAGGAGAAGGCCCTCAGTTTCTATGCATGAGCTCACCCATATGATCATCTCTCTACCCAGTTCATCTCTGCTTGGATTCATTGCATTTCATGTGGGAGCCTTGTTTAAAAATGAGACACAACACAACAACTGGGAAAGTAGATCAGTGATTTTGCGAGCCAATTAGCATTATACAAAATCAGCAACTCTGTTAAATACGTGGAACCAGTTTCTCACAAACCTGTGATCTAGAGAGCAGATTATATGAAGTGTATAACTACAGTTTGATGAACTAAGTTCACAAAGGAACACGTGTTTGGATGTACGCTCAGTGCGTGCATTTGGGTGTGTAATATGATATATATTTTCATATATACACAAACATAAACACAAACCATAAGCACAATAACTCAATTCACCCAATATTATGTCAGAAATTGACTGGCTGGTTTGTGATATAGTTCAAATATTACTTCTGGTTCATATGAACCCAGAAAGTTGGGTTAATTCCATACTAACAAACGTAAACAGTGACTATATAAATTGTCACCCACAATTGTCCACATTCACCAGACGTTTGTGCATTTGCATTGCCACAATGAATCATTCTTTTTCAATAGTCTTCCTTGCATTTGTAAGTGACTGGAGGGTTTTATGGACCAGTACACTGGTGCACACAGAGATCCATATATATATATAATGTTGCCATTTGACAGGTATCTGTGCTTTTCTATGAAAATACCACTTAATTTTTATACACTTGGTGCCCCAGCAGAGTTACATGTGTATTTTACACACCATTCTGCACTTTATTCCCATTGTTCTTTGGGCTGGCTCACACTTGATCCCTGTATGCACACCTGTCTTTACCTGTCCCTCCTTGCTGCTTCCTTTTCTCTTCATCTCATACCCCAATTTTGAATGGGTACTTCTCGGAGCTGCCCTTCCTCAGGTTCGCTGGACAACAGGCACCTCCAACCCTCCGCCCGTTCCTCGTTCATTCTTTGCGCACTCGCCCCATGGAAGGTGCGGATGGTACCTGCTCCTTTCCTTTCCGGGAGTGACGATCCCACTGCCTCTTCCTGCAGAAGCCAGAGCAGCACCAGTGCTCCCCAGGAAAGCTTCCGCGATTCGGGGTGCCCCATCACTCCACTGCACCACTTTTCCTTGGCACGAACTTTCTGGTGCGCCTGGCAAGCAGTTTCCACACGGGCCGTCCCTCTCTCTCCTCTGCAGCCACCACCTCCGTTTGGCTGCCCACGGCGTGGGATGAGTGGCTCCCGGAAGATTCCTGCTCGGTGGCGGAAACGTGTCTGCTACAAAACCCAGCATTTGGAGGTTGCTGGTGCAGCACTGAACTGTCAAAGCTCAGCTGAGCGGAGGGCGGGGGGTGGGCGAGAGAGGCAGGAGCAAGGGGGCTGGGAAGGATGGAGAGAAACCGGGGAGCCGGCCTGCCCTCTGGTGGCCATTGGTAGAATTTAGTACAAGTACAATACAGTCTCCAAAAGCAGGATGAAAGTTTTTCCTCACCCTGGCCTTATTTTGTAGATAAAGTTAGAAGTTACTTTGGTGGAGCTTCTCAACAACATGGGAGACTATTTGCAAACGTGGGATTCTAAACTTCCTAAAATTATGCAAACATTAGGGTTGGAAGAGATTTGGTAGGTGATGAATTCGAACCTTTTGATTAGAGTGGGAATCTATTATTTACCTATTGCTGATGTCTCCACCCTGTTTCTCTATAAAACCTCTAGTAAAGGAAACTTCAACAGTTCCAAAGAATTCATTTTTGAACAGCTGTTAGTATCAGGACATTTTTCTTCTGTTTGCTTAACAAAGGTAGGAATCTGCTGTGGTTAATGCATTTGTAAATAGCTGGAAAACTAAAGCATGGTCTCAGAAACAGAGGGGTGACTTGAATTTGAAACACTTGCGTAAAATCAAGATCAGTTATGAGGCCGTATTACATCTTGTTATTGAAATACAACATAGAGCAGAACAAAAAAAAAGATAAAATTATTGCAAATTTTAAAGAAGTGGTAGCTGTGGGACATTGGGAAGAACTATAGAGGGGGAAAATCAATAAAATTTACACCAAGCCACAGTCTGAGATAAAATTGATACAAAATGTTTTATAGATGGTATATAACTCCATCAGTGATTGCCAAAATGGGCAAATTAATTAGCAATAAATGTAGGAAATGCCATAACAAAGAAAGAACTCTACTACATATGGTAATCATACCAAAAGACTCAAAGGTATAGAAAGAAATACACCAAAACCACCAGAAAAATCTGAAAATAAAATTTAAAATGAAAGTCTATTTACATTAGGCATATCCCAGAGAATACAAATGAAAAGCATCATAACTTATTAAGACATATGCTGATGGAGTCAAGAATTAACTGGGCGCAACACTGGAAGAAGCAAATCTTGCTGACAATATAAGATTCAAATACTAAAATTGGAGATTATATGGCAATGGAAAAATTGGCTATATATCTACATAGCAGAACTCTAATCAAATTAAAACAGGAATGGTTCCCTTATAAATGTGTGACATAGCAAGGTAAGTTAATCCACTTACAATATGGCTTTTGAAAAAAAATGGGTTTAAAAATAATTAAAATGATCTAAACAGAAATAATAATAAAAGTTTAAAATAAAGTATGAAAATAGTTAAGTGGCAGTAATTGTTTCAAATTGATTTTTTAAAAATGTTTAAATTGTTGGTTTATTGTACACTGCCCAGATTCATATTTGTGAGATGGGCAGTCATATAGAATTGATAAATAAAGAAAAAGAAAAAGAAAAGGGCAGTCATATAGATTTGATAAATAAAGAAAAAGAAAGAAAAGACGGGGGAAAAGCTGCTTGAATGATTTTTCTTATAGTTGTCATTCCTCTCTCATTTTATAATTTTTTAAAAAAAAATTGTCATTGATATTAAATCACATCTTTTGAATTCTCACAGTGATATTTCTCAGATGTTCAATTACTTCCTTGTACTTGTTTTCTGGAACATCTCTGAACAAATCTGCCCCATCTTCTGCATGGCAGCCATTTGGTACTTGAAAGCAATTTTCTTGACTTCCAACAGTTTTCTCCGGGCTAAAAAAAATAAATCAATACCTCCAACCATTCATCATTTGGATTTCATCTTCATATATTTATTCTTCCAGACCCCATATTATCTTGCTTGTTGTCCTCTGGACAGGCTTCATTTTGTAAATGTCCTTCCTAAAATATGAAATTGTATGTAATATTGTAAATGTGATCAAATGTGTGCAGAATAGAAACACTGATTTATCTTTCTTGATATTTCTGTTTTTGAAATCTAGGCCAGGGGTCCCCAACCCCCCAGACTGCAGCCCACTACCAGACCTATTCAGGATGTGTGAGCGCCAGACTAGTCTTGAGTGTGTGCGCAAGCTCCACTTGGGCTCCTCCAGCTGGGCCACCAAGCCACAAAGGTTGGGGACCATTGATCTAGGGTCCTTCCTTCCTTCCTACCTACCTACCTACCTACCTACCTACCTACCTACCATGCATTTTATACTTCTTGCTCATGTTCATCATTTGATCCATCAAGATATCAAATCCTTTGACTATGAATTATTCAGTATGGTTGCCCCATCCTGTACTCATATTTTAGATTTTCTTTACTCTCTTGTAAGACTTTGCATTTATCCCTATTGAAATTCATCTTGCTGGTTTCTATATTTTTCCATCTTCTCAGAATCCCTGTGAATTTTGATCCAGTCCTCAATCTAAGATGTTACCTCTGTCCCTAACTTTTGTTATTTGAAAAGGTGATAATCATATTCTCTAATCCCTCACCCACTTTATTAATATGTTGAACAGAAAAGATCCTACAATAGTGTTTTGGTACATCACTTGACAAGTCCAACAATGTGGTGCTATCAATGTATTTTTGTTGATTTTGATCACTAAATAAACTCTGTATTGATAGAATGGTAGCATAACCCAATCCATATTTTGCCACCTTCACTAGAATCTGGTTTTGTTGAAAACTTTGTTGAAGTCAAAGTAAATTATGTTCACCACATTCCCATGGGCAGTTAAATGGGTCCTCCATCAAAAAAGGAGATTGGGCTGATTTGGATTGATTTATTCTTGATAAATTATGCTGGTTTCTGCCAAGCAACACATTCCTTTTTAAATGCTCATAAACCAACTGCTTAATAATCTGTTCAAATGTTTTGCCCTTTTTTGTATAAAGCTGACCTAGATCTTCACCATTGTCCAATTGTCTACCCTTTCCATTTTCCTCTTTTTACTGCTGACTTAATGAAAAAGGTCCTTTGTGGCATTTAACTTCCTTTGTGAGTGTGAGCTGCTTTTGGCTTTAGCTTTTCTAACTATATTTCTGAAGATATCAGCTGCTTACTGGTTTACTTCCTTGGTGATTCCTACCATGTAGCTACTTAGTTCAGTTGCAATTTTCCTGTGTATCCCCAATAATCTAATCTGCCTGCTCTATTTTTTTCCTTTTTGAAGTGGTTTGTAGTTCTATTTTCAGAACTGATTTCTGTGTAGTTCCTCAATTTCCTTTGTTCGAGTTTTATATCTATGGGATCCTTTTTAGCACTTCTTTAGTTCATTGAAATTGGCCTTCCTAAATATCTGTGTATGTTCAACGTACTCATTTCTGTGTCTCCCGTCCAAGTTGCAAATACATCAGATTTTGTTTCACTTTTAAGATTATTCATGATTGGCCAGACATTACCATATGATCCAACAACTTTAAACTGACTTGTACTTAAAGGCTGTTTATTGCATAAAAGCAATGTCTAACTGAAACAGGCTAATTGGTTTTTATTCCAAAACATAAAACCAAAACCCAACAACATTCCCATAAGGGCTCCAAGAAGTTTTGTTCCCATAATATATTTGTTCTGTTTTCGAGAAAGAGGCATTGAGACAAAGCACTGTTTCAAACAAGTCGTCCTTTATTCCAAACAGCAACAGAACAGCTTACAAAATGGTGCGGTTACCTTTTATGGTCCCCTGCAAGGTACTTTGCTGGTCAATCATTGCAAGGCTTTTTTCCCACCTTGCGCATGCGCACAAGGCTGAAAATAGCCCCTCTGGTCCTGGGCATCCACTTGGTCTGCCTGGGCCAATCGTTGCACTCTGTGTCTGCAGGTTCAGTACATAACACCCCTCCCCCCTTGGATAAAATGATAAGGCAAACTTATTATTTTAAATACTCCAACACTCCATTACATTGTTTACATTGCATATATACACAACAAGCTACAATCTTACTACTGCCTTACTCTTAAGGTGACCAACTTTTTTACAATGAAAAGGAGGACACAAATAAATTGAAGAAAAAATATCGTAAATAAAAGAAACATTTTATTCATTGCAACAATAACACAGACAACTTGCATGTGAAAAGTTTGTCAGCTGGGTGTTTTGGCACGCTCAGTAGCAAGCCAATAGCGGGAGTAGCACAGCTCATGCAAAAGTTGAAAAAAAAACCTTAAAAAAGGTGCCGGAATGCCGTTCTGAGTGTTCTATGAGAAAAAAAAAGCCCTGCAGATTAGTCTTCAAATATCAAAAAGGAGGACATGTAGTAGGACACTTTTCGAGGGAGGACAGAACTTACAAAAGGAGGACTGTCCTCCCTAAAGGGAGGACCTTACATAGTCCTATAAGTGTTTGGGAGGACCTCTGGCCTGCCCTGATCTTCTCGGAGCCGGAGTGGGTGCCTGGCCTGCGAGCTCGCCTGCCAGGCTTGGCAGACCAGGACTTTGATGCCCCCTTGACTCAGGCAACTCCTCCCAGCTGCTGATTGGCTGGATCTGCTAAACCCAAGCCAGAGTTCCTTAGGAGGGTGAAATTCCCCAAGTCCAGTGGTGGGGTGGAATTCCCCAAGTCCACAATGGACTCCTCTTGGGAGCACTGTCCCTCGAGCCCAAGACCAGCAGCTAGAGTGGCCTGAGTAGCCGATTTGCCCCAATAGCCCCTTGCCCCAGTGTCTGTGATGCATGTGCCAGAGTCAGGAGCCACCTCCATGGCAAACCCCCTTTCTGGAGCAATAGCTGGAGCCTGTGAATGTTGGATATACTCCCCTTCTGGAGCAATAGCTGAAGCCTGTGAATGTCGGAGAGCCTGTGGTCCACAATCGTAATTGTGGTCCTCTTCCCCCCCCCCAAGAGTAGAGCCAGGAGCGGAAGTGTTGCTGGGAAGCCTCCAGCGCAGTTGGTCAATGTGACATCAGATCACACGACCATCCTCCAGGGTTGATGATGCTGACTGGGCCTTTCCTCCTTGAGGCCTTCTCTCCAGAGTCTGATGCAGCCGGTCCACTTCCGATTCTGAATTCTGTTCATAGTCTTCCTCCGCGACCTCTTGATGGATGGTGACTGGAACTTGAGGCTAGCCGCAAGGCCTTGGCTAGCCGCAAGGCCTTCACAGGTCCACTGGCTGCTTCTTCGGCTGCAATTTCCCTCAAGGCATCTTGGAACGAGAGGTCTTCCTTCGCGAAGAGCTTCTGCTGCAACTCACGACTTCGCAGGCCACAGACTAAATGATCTCTGAGCCTCTCTTCTAAGTCCTTGAACTCGCAGGGCCTAGCTGCCTGTCGTAGGGCCACAACGAATTCTGCAGCAGATTCACCAGGCCTCTGGTCCCTCTGCTCGAACGTGTGTCGCCAGGCAATCACTGAGAGCTTTGGTTCGAAGTGCTTTCAAAGCATCCTCTTCAATTCAATGTTGGTGATTGATTCCAGTGGTGCTGAGGTGATCAGATTCTCAGCGATATCGAAAGTCTCTTGCCCACAGACACACAGCAATGTAGCAGCTTTGAGGCCATCTTCCCAGATCTGATTCACCCGAAAGTAGTTCTCTATCCGGGCCACGTACAAACTCCAGCATTCTGGATGCGCTGTGTTGAACTCCAACAGCCAGCCTATCTTAGACAACGTTGCCGTCCAGGAACTTCATCCACGCCTCTTGCTGCAAGGGTTGAGAAGGGGTCCCCTCTGTTGAGCTCACCTCCAGCGTTTCCGTACTGGCAGGCCAAGTCGCAATTACCGGATGCCGTGTTTCTCCAAGCTTCAGGCCTCCTGTGGTGAGTCAGCCTAGCTTCTTGCATTGTTTCCCTTGCAGGCAATCCCACCTTCATCGTCAATGTTCTGTTTTCGAGAAAGAGGCATTGAGACGAAGCACGGTTTCAAACAAGTCCTCCTTTATTCCAAACAGCAACAGAACAGCATTTTATAGTCCCCTGCAAGGTACTTTGCTGGCCAATCGTTGCAAGGCTTTTTTCCCACCTTGCGCATGTGCGCAACACTGGAAACAGCCCCTCTGATCCCGGGCATCCACGTGGTCTGCCTGGGCTAATTGTTGCAGCCTGCGTCTGCAGGCCCAGGACATAACAATATTGAACCATAAATAATATAACAAAGTTTTAGCTTAATGTGTAGTGTGACCTTGCCCATGTGATTAGTGAATTCAATGGCACTTAGTCAATATTATCTGGCCTCAAAAAGCTAAGCAGGATTAGCCCTGCTTGGTACTTGGATGGGAAAGAACAAGATAAAATCATATACAAGTAGATCTAAACTCTGTTTGCTTCATGAATGCATGTGTACAGTTTTCTTAATAGCACTAGAGAGATTTCAGCCCAGTTATATTCTAAAAAGAAAAGATTAGAGGGAGTGCTATCAGGCTGTCCTGAACAACTGGAGGAGAGTTGGGATATAAATATAACAATAAAATAAAACAATATAGTAGTTTGCCATTGGCTTCTTGCAAGACACTTATTTTCCCTAAATTCCCTTGCTGATTTTCTTCAGCAAGGGAGGGAGGTCTGCTGTAGCCAGTGATATTTTTCAGGCTTTTCCACACATTTGCTGGTTCATCTTTGCTGAGTGCTCGGTATGCAGTTTCTGTGCATACAGGTTGTTGTTAAATCATGGAGTTTTGCCATTGGGTGATTTTGCACAATATATTTCAATTGGCTATTGAATTAACCCATTATATGGGTTTGTGCAATACGAGATATAAAACAACATATGATTGGTTTCTTTCATATATTGAGTCATAACAAGCTAACCAAAGTGAAACCCAATCAAACTTTGCATGTTGTACAAATATAAATTCAGCCCCTACATCACGAGTGTCAAACTTGATTGCATCACTTGATGTATCATGATGTATCGCAACATTTTTTGCCTTTGCAGAGCCAGGGTGGGCATGGCCTGCATGTGACGCATCCGACCTGTGGACCGCCAGTTTGAGACTCCTGCCCTAGATCATTTGACTTGTTTATGCCTGCCATGCAAATCTAGCCCATATATTTGATAGAGTTTAGGACTACCAGACCTGGACTGAAAAATTTCAGATGATTACTAGATGGCAGCAAAGATATTTCTGCTGTCCAGTCTGATAGCCTTAATGGAGCTTGAAGTTTTGCAGAAACTGAATGTTGCTTACTGATATCCAAGAAAGCCTCTGATAAACCTACTTAACGTTAATATTCACAGTATTGGAAGATTAGGAATACAAGCAGTCATCTTGACTTTCCACAATGTTTTGGACCTGGATGTTATGACCAGAGTACGGTTCAATATTTAAGTGCCAGATGGCCTCCAGTTTCGGTCATTTCCAGGAGTCAGTAATAAATTCTAATATAGTACTGCAGAATAGTTCACGAGTGCCAATTGCCAACAACAGCTTCCTCTTTTTCAGAACAACACAGAATTCCAAAGTTGGAACAAACTCTGATGGTAGTAGGGTAAACTTCTATCTTCCCTTCTGAAATCTGATATACTCCAGATGTGCTCTACTTGTTCTATATTCCAGCTGATGTTATAATTAAATGTTTAGATATGAGACGTTAGAACAGGGGTGTCAAACTCAATTTCATTGGGGGCCGCATCAGCATTGTGCTTGCCCTCAGGGGGCCGGTTGGATGTGGCCAGGGTGGGTGTGGCCTACTGGATGGGCATGGATTGAGTGGATGTGGCCTACTGGGTGGGCGTGGCCAGCTCTACATCATTCACATCTAGGGGGCCTGTGGGGGCCTGGGCAGGAGTGAGACAGATCTGAGGGTCTCTGGCAGAAGTGCCAAGGCATGGTCCACTGGAGGAGCCTCACTGTTGCTCTCAGACCATGCGGGGGGGGGGGGCTGGATGGTGGTGCAGGCTGCCCAGAGCCCTGGGGAGCAGAGATCAAAAGCCCAGCCTGGCCGTTGAGCACCTGCGGCATCAAGCCCAGCCCCACTTCCCCAAGGTTGCTGCTTGGGGTTCTCCTGGTTCCTCGCTATTTCCAGACAGCCTTATGGAGCTAAGACTGAATGCATTCCAGCATAGATGGCCATCACCACAAAATTGTACATTGGCTCCCGGCTGGCCTGGGGCAGGGCCAAGGCAGAGGGGGCCGTTCCCTCACTGTTTCCAGGATGGCTTTGTGGGCCACATGAAACTACTTCATGGGCCGCATCTGGCCCCCGGACCTTGTGTTTGACATGTCTGCATTAGAAAAACCTCTACTACATAGTGCAAGTTATTGATGAAATTTGATATTGAATGATGCAAAAACTTAGGGAATTGCAAAAGGGATTCTTGGATGTTCTAGATCAGCGGTTCTCAACCTGTGGGTTGGGACCCCATTTGGGGTCGAACGACTATTTCACGGGGGTCACCAAACAACAGTCCGCCATTTTTCCCCCTTTTCCTTAGCTGTGCTACTCCCTTTTATTCTATTGGCTTTTGAAAGCCAATAGAATAGACTCTCTTGAATAGAGTCTAATTCTATTGGCTTTCAAAAGCCAATAGGAATTGTCCAGGCTGTCTCTGCCCTGCTGAGCCCGCCAAAAGTCCCATTCTGCAAACGGTGCTGCAAGTTGTCTGCAGCGAAGGCGAGCTGTCTGGACGTTTCCACCCCTCCCTGCTGAGCAACTACTAAAAATGTAAGTAAAAGAGAGCCAGGGGTAGGAGGTGGGAGGCTGGCAGGCGCAGGGAGAATTGCTGGTGCGTGTGGGGCCCGGCGGGTGCCTTACTTGCCTTGGGCTGGGCCAGCTGGTGGCCCAGCCGGTGGTTGGCCTGTGCCGTCTCTGCCGCTTGCCAGCTACGCCTCAGCTGGCGCAGGGGGCGGTACCACGCATACACGGCGCTCCTGGGCAGGGAAAGTCCTCGACTTACGACCGGTTGGGGTCGCGGCATTAAAAAGGTGAGAACCACTGTTCTAGATTCTTACCAAGGTTTGTGGCACCAGTCCCAGTTCCAGCCTTTGGATGAAACTCATCACACCCATGACTTTATAATATCTGACTACAAGGGCATCACATAGGAAGAGGTACAAAATAAATGACATTTAATGAGGAAATACTTTTAATTTTTTAAGTTCAAATAGACCATATCTAGAAATATTTTAAAAAATCCCACAATCATAAGAATACATTTGGACATAGGAAAGACAAATAACATTTGTTAACATAGCACCAAATCTTTTAATGATAAAGCACGTATTTCCATAACTTCAAGAATTAGCATACAACCTTCAAATGAGATTTCTGGTCTTTTTGCCAAAGAAATTATAGTTTCCCAGATATATTTAATACTGATTTTCCACAGTTCCAAGCCTGAGAATGATCATAGTTTGCATTATGTTGAAGAAGGCTATATTACATTTTTGCCTCCATCCTCCGTGTGTCTTGATCTATACATGTAATGAGATGAGTTGATTGCATAGCGAGAGAGAAAAAAAGCCGCTCAACAAAATTTATATCGGGGAATCACATTTCTGAATATTAATTTACATCAGTGTTCCTCAAATATGGCTGTCTAGAGAATTCTGGGAGTTGAAGTTTATCATGCTTGAGAAACATTGCTTTATATTAAAAGCATGCAAAGAGAAAAGAACTGTATTACAATCTTAACAGTCAATTTTCTCTTTGTTTGTAGGATGCTTTTTTAAAAAAAAAATCTTAAATGAAATTACTTTTGGAAGGTCCTTCTCTGTAGCCTGAAGCTAGAGTCAACTATGCTATACTAATTCTGCTGTACAAAAGAGCATACTAAATATGGCATTAGCTGCATTTATACATAATAAACTCTACAAGGAGGAATTCTTTTGGCAGGACTTGTAGCATCAGATCTCCCTTGCGCCCAGGACTGTCTGTCCTACAGATGGATCGTGAGCATTTCCAAGACCAGAAGTAACATGTACCATTGTATTCACGTTATATTTGAGATTAATCTGTTATAATGTCTGAAGCTAACATTGTTCCTCTTAAAAGAAGAAAAGATAGGTTGAGATGAAGAACTTTCTTGTTAGGGACTTTCATATTCAGTTTCATATAAACTGTTTTGCTTAAACTAACAGATTTTCTTGTCTCAAACTTGCCTTGACTTGTTTGAAAGGAATCCTCCAAAACTGAAAGAATTCTTCACTGATATGGGTCTCTCTCACATGCATCCACATGCATGCATGTACGTGCAAGGACGCACATTACACACAGAGAGAGAGAGAGAGAGAGAGAGAGAGTTTAAAAAAAAGACAAAAAAAGAGGGACTTGGAAAATTCTAAAACAGTGACACAGCGCTCAAATTATTTATTGGATATATAGGTAGTCCTTGACATACGACCACAATGGAGTCTGGAATTTCAGTCATAAGTTACTGTAGTCATAAAGTAATGCATAGGGTCAGAGTGAATTTTGCTGTAAAGCAAATCAATGCAATCCTTAAGGGAATCACACAGTTGTTAAGTGAACCATGCTGTGGTTAAGCAAATCTATTCTCCCACATGGGCACTTTTTACCAGAAACCAGCAAAAACCACAGAAATGGCAAAAAAAAGTCACAAAGTGTAGTCACGTGACCATAGAACATTGCAGCCAACTATAAATACAATATGGTTGCCAAGCGCCCAAAATGCAGTAGTGTGGCTTTGAGGGAGGCAGCAGCTGCAAAGATCATAAGTATCTTTTTTGTGGTCTGTCCTAACTTTGACTGGATCACTTACAGGACAGATGAAATGACCGCAATCCTAGGAGAAGATGAAGAAATGAGGACATGTGTTTCAAAATTTCCTTGGCTACTTCTTCATTTGGGAAGCAGTCCAGGCATCTCACAAGGCAAAGTGAAATTCATGAAATAACATTTCCCAAAATAACATTCCACCCTCTTTCTGGTTTTTTCACAATGATAATGCAAAACATTTTAGCACTGGGGGGGGGGGGGAAAGCAGCACTGTCTTTTTTGCTCAACAAAAAATGTTCCATAATCTTTTTTGTTTCATAGGACTTAACACTTCTCACGGCAGTGTCCAATTCTGACTGGAAAAGTATAAAATCAAAGCCACACAGTGATGTGATGTAAACAGACTTTCCAATGTGATACAATTAGATCCGAAGTCCAGGAAGAATCTCTCCGCAGGCTGAATGCATCTCCTCCTATAACTTGACATGTGCTAAGAAAGTATTTAAAAAAATACTGATGGCTTTAGCGAAGGGGAAAAAAGCCATCCAAGGTCCAACAGATCCTGAGTGTTTTGCAAAGTGGAAATAAATATAAGGGTTGGTTTGTTTTTTCCCCAATCCCAAAGTAGTTTTGGCTGAGATTACTTGGCAGCAACTTGAGATATCATCCATTCTAAACCAGCAGGAAGGCTGAATGGAGAAAAAGAAATGATTAATACTGGAAAACCCAACATTAACAATTCCTAGAAGAAAACTGATATTAACTTGGATCCTTTCAACAAAGAAACCATTTTCTTCTTTTTATCAGAGAACCTAGACAGGTTGCATCAACTGACTTCTTTAAAAATTGTATTGGAGGGCACCTGACATACTGCTCCAGCTTCTAGCCTCTTTATTTTCAAAAAACTTTCTAGGATTTGCTTGGATCTCCACTTGCATTCTAAGAAAGATATCAGCTAAAAAAAATGTAGATGGTTTCAACTAGATTAGGATCTCCAAACTTGGCAACTCTAAGACTTGCAAACTTCAACTCTCAGAATCCCTCAGCCAGCCATGCTGGCTGGGGAATTCTGGGAGTTGAAGTCCACAAGTCTTAAAGTTGGTAAATGGTAAATGGATGTTTTTTAACCAGCCCCATCAACCCGTAAGCAACAATTATGGAAGAGTATCCAAGATATGCTCTAAGGCATTGGTGTCAAACTCGCTGTGTCATGTGAAGTGTTATGATGTATTGTGACTTTTTTTGCATTGCCGCAGCTGGGGTGGGCGCAGCCTCCGCATGATACAACCGGCCCATAGGCTGGCAGTTTTTGATACCCCTGCTCCAAGGGGTCCAGATATGTTCTTTACTTTCAGAAGGATGTATTTCTGCATTCCTTAATTTTAAGCTTGGTTGAATCAAAAAGATAGCACATATTATGCAGAAACAACCAGAAACCAGCCTTTTAAACAGGGCACAGTTAAGGCTGTCCACAGTGAAAATGATTTTCTCAATTACTTCGAGTTGATTGGGCAATCTTTATGATACTTTGTATGAAAAAACATATGTTTTTCTTTAGAGAAATTATACATTGATATATTAATCAGATACAGCTTAAGGAAATATTTTCCTCTTTTCCCCACCCCTTCCACATTCATACATTAAAAACAGTGCTGGCCATCTTCAATGTTTCTAAGAACCATTATTAAAAATCAAAATAGAATATTTTCTATTTTCGACAATAGAAAATAGCCTTAATCCATTTAAAAGTGTTCCAGGGCTCTAATCCAGGCTTGGCAAGGAGACAGAAAGCTGCATTGTGCAATATTGAATTTATTGGCCTGCTAAGCCAATTTACTTTCAAATTATGTTCCTTTATCAAGAGAAAAAAATTATACCTTTTAAGACTGACATTCATTTCACACAGGAAAGAGTTCTATAGCAGGGGTGTCAAATTTATGGTTTGACTGTTGTCCCACAACAAAGCCCACATAGGCAAGGCAGCAGCAAAGAACACGCAGCTGCAGAGCTGTGCTGGTGGGATTTTGAAGGTTTTGAACCATCACAGGTGCAATGATGGCATGTAATTGCCCTGCAGGTGTACAGAGACTGTTGCTGCTGAAATGACCATTTGTCATTGTAGCTGGCTTCAGGAATGTGTGGGATGACATGGGATGACCATTGCAGCCATAGGGATACAATATTTTACTGTTATAGCAGATAGCATATTTTTGCTTTTATGTGTCATCAATAGCATCATTTGCATTTAATTTGTAGATTGTTATTAATTATAAATAATAAACCATTTTAATTATTGATGAAATTGACATGATTGATAGCTATTTGTATTTAATATTTGTTGCATATTTGAATGCAGGCACCAATTAGCACACTTAATGTCATGTGCTCCCCTATTTGAGTTTAAGATCCCCATTCTAGAGGGAAAAGCCTTCAGCTGTTCTAGTGTACAGGAGGTGTAATTCTGGTTTACTGACCCCTCTCCTGTGAGCGCACAGCATCCTTGAATATGCCACGGGTGGTCTTTGATGGAGCTCAGGGTGAGGAACTTCGAAATCTCAGAGGTAGACATGGAGTTTTTTACATCTTGCTTGTTGGCAAATATCAACACAGCTGCATTACGCAGGTCCTGGGGAAAGAAAAAAGAGAACACGTTGTTTGACTCTGGTTTCCATCAATTCATGATTCATTCAAAATAAGAGAAGTAACACATAAAGCTATGACATAAAGGTCAGAAGAGAAGACAGTCACAAAAGGAATTTCCAGTAGAATGTCTGTGGTTTAGCATAAGCTATGGATTGAACATGATCTGTTTATTTGTGGACGCAAGTTGTGAACCCTCTTCAAAACCTGGATGTGCCATTGGGCCTGAGGATCTCATGGAAGTGGGGATCCTGTAAATAATTGCACTGCACTCATTTAGACTGCACTCCCTCTTGTCCTTTCATACTTTTTAATTAGTTTTAACTGATTTTAATAATGGTAGGTTGTAATTGTTAGTTTTCTTTATCCATATATGCCACCCAGAGTCACATGCAAGTGAGATGGGTGGCCATATAAATTTAAAAGAGAAATAAAAAACAAATTTAAGCATGATATGGAATCTGGCAACTGTGGTTTAATAAACCATTAATTATGGCTTAGCATCGTGACTTATATTCCTTCATTATTCTACAAACAATCATTGAAATAGATTGCTGTGAAATACGAATAATGTACCTGTAGTTTTTATTTAGCATACCACCATTGTAATTATGGTTTATGATGATATAATATGTGAGGCCAAACAATGTGATTCGTTTAACAAAGTTTAATGAACAAAAGCATGGTTTCCTGTGCTGTGGGCACTTAACCAGAATTTCTGGAATCGAAACCTAGTAATCAGGTTCCTTCTAGGATATATGCCACCTTTCATTAGTCTTCCTCCAAAATCTCCAACTTCTGGATTCCTTTTCTTTCAGATATCAACATCTGAACTTTCCCTGTTGCTCTCATTGGATAGCCTGTAGCTCTTACTTTCATATGCAAGATTAACCTTTCATCTTTGTCCAGAATGTCCCAGAATGATCATTGTTGTTAATTGTCTGTTTTATCTTGAACAATTAAGATATTGGTAAGAATTCCCTGGTCTCAGGGCAGAAAAGACTTAAAGAAAATCTTCACATTTAAATATAATTCACTGGCAATAATTGAAAATGTAGAATTACTTCAGAAGAAACAGAAGAGCTTGCATTGTGACATCACAATTCATCACTTTGGTGTCATTGTAATTAGCTGTGGATGCCTAGGCTAGTGCCCCACACACACACATCTCACAGTCATGATTGTATAGCAGGAGTGTCAAATTGCCGGCCCCTGGGCTGGATGCATCATGCTGAAACTGCACCCATGTCATGTGATGTTGCGAGTTTGACACCACTGCTGTACAGTATTTCAGGCACTTGACAACTAATTCACCTTTATGGCCAATTGCAGAATTCCACAATCACATGACTGATTTACAATGATTTTTGCCAGTTTTTGACCTTTTTTGCCAGTTTCTGCACATATAAATCCATGGATTCATTTACAGTTGTGCCATTTGCTTAGTGACTGCCATATTTACTTAATAACCATGGTGTTTGCTTAATGCCTGCCACAAAAAGTCATAAAATTCGATCTGGTCACCTGGGTACCTTGATTTAAAACCATCATGACTTACAACAGAAATTCTGGGATCTGTTGTTATAAGTCAAAGACTATCTGTAATAATGGAAGATCTATTAGGATTCAGTTGTTGCTACTGATTGGTGTGCAATAGTCTCAGTTTACATGTTTCAAACCTGAGCTGGTTAGCGGGCGGGTTGTGGCCAACACACCTTATAATTGGACCTGATGACTTCTCATATAAATAATCTCTAAAAACAAATAAGAAATAAAATGTTCTGCCATAGCCTGTTCTCTGCTGACTCTTTCCTTGGAAGGAGATTTTTCCATCCAAGCAGCCAGTTCTAGTGCTGTGGCTGGACCAGCTTGTGATTGATACAAGCAGCATTGTAACAGCAAATAAAAAAGATGCCCAGGAATACAAAATGTACAAAACACCTGGGGAACAACATCTGAAATATCACACAATATATATCTCTGCATGTGGTAGCAGGCCAACTCACCTCATGAGCTAACATCTTATACAGCTCCTCTTTTGTCACTGTCAGCCTCTCACGATCCGTGCTATCAATCACAAGGATGATAAACTGATCGAAGAAAAAAGAACCACATTTATAAACTTGATCAAGACTAAGTGAACATAATTGAAGCAGTGGCTGAGTTCATACAACACACTACAAGCATAATATATTGCAGTGTGATTTGTAAACCATGTTTGTGATATAGCAGATTGGGTGAGCTAAGCAATTTTATTTTACTCAATAAGCTAACCATTCCTGTGAACCTAGTTTTCAAGCCCCAGCCCTTGTACGCTCCAAACAGCATTGTTTTGGAGAGGAAGGAAATATCAGAAGGCTTGGGAGAAAGATCTCATCACACAGGAAAACTTCAAAAGAATGAAAAGTAAGCATTCTTGATGACTGTAGAAAACTATCTGTCTGATGGGAGGAAGTAAAAGACCAAGCAGGAGAGGAAATGCAAGTAGGACTAAACAGGAATATTTAGAATTAGAAATCTAACAGCAGCCTGGAATGTCTTACTTGCCAACATCTAAGATTTAAGTTAATATTATATCTTAAATACATTGGTCAGGAAGCGCAGAGGTTTGATGAGTGTGTGCTAAACCAAGGGTCATTATTTTGCACAACTACTAAGCTTGCCTTCATTCCAGGAACAACAGAGTTAAATAATCAAAATACATTCCTAACATCAAATCATAATTCATGCAAGCCAAAGAATAAAATAACGTTAGGGCATTTCTGCAGAGGGAATGAGAACCAACTGAAAGAGACATGGAGCTCTCTAAACAACTTCCCCAGGGGGATTTTTAAAAAGTGATTCAAAATGTATGAATAAACGTCTATTTGGCAAATGGTGTACTGTCTGGAAAGCATATAGGAGAAGGTAAGAGAAGAAAATCACATTTCATATGTAAAACTGTCAAGAATGCAGTTTTGGCATATGAAGAATGAGTCTCAGCTTGCCTTTGTTCTATCAAAACAGAAATTATGATACAGTCAAGACTCACGGGTAATTCCCATCCCTCACAAAACGAACATGTAAGCAATAATTTTGCATGAAATAGCAGAATATCAATACATAAGAGGAAGTAGAGTGACAGAAAACAGCTATTAGAGAAAACCAAACATAAGATCAAAGAGGTATCCAGAATATTCTTCCAACCAAGTTCCTCTGAAATTCAGTGGCAAATTTTAGATTTTTAGTTGTCTGGTTTTCACATTTGAAAATAAACATGAGAACAGATACACAAACCTTTTATATCAGGCCAACATGTGCCATCCAAATGACCTTTGGAAACTAAAAAAATATTGTTAAAAAGCATGTCCACTGAACAAAGAAACATTGCCCTGGAAGCTACTTGAACAGTATTTCTAAATAGCATAATTTCCATGCTAGCTTTCACCAAAGTGGTGCCTCTGAATCAGCGTTTCTCAACCTTGGCAATGTTAGGATGTAATGGACTTCAACTCCCAGAATTCTCCAACCAACATGCTGGGGAAGTCCACACATCTTAAAGTTAGCAAGGCTGAAAAAAAGCCCTGTTCTAAGCTGACGTCTTTTGAGACCTTTGACTTTGCTTCTGTTATCGACTTATGGGGGGGGGGGACTGACATAGCCACAAGACTTTTTTGACAGTTCAGTATTGGTTAATATTTGCAGGTCTTAGAGCTTTTTGGCAAGCATTGTACCCACATAAACTTGATCCAGAATTAATCACATCTTAGTATGAGTTCAGATTTAACCATTATGAAGCATTAATTGATAGTAGTATATTAATTATATATATTGTAATGGGATTTAAGTTCTTTTTAAAAATACTCTGCCCATGTGCAAAACTGTAATTTCATTTGTGTTTTAACTTACCATAAGTGCTTTATGCTTATGCAAATTTTTATTCCCAAAAGTATTGCCCAAATTTTACAACCTTATGGACAGCCATTTGTCTGAAATGGTATAGGGTTTCCTGCCTGAGCAGGGGGTTGGATTAGATACCTTCAAGGTACCTTGCAACTTCTTATTCTTCTCCTTCTCCTTCTCCTTCTCCTTCTCCTTCTTCTTCTTCTTCTTCTTCTCCTTCTCCTTATTATTATTATTATTGATCATCGCACAGTCAGCCAGATATTCAGACTGGATTTGGCATTTTGTCTACCTATCGAGTCCTTACCCAGGACCTGGGATAGGCTGATGTGGATGTTTGATGGTATTGCAGATAACGTCGCAGGATGGAAGCAGTTCCTAGTAAGGCCGCCTTTTGCAATTGACTAATAGCGAATTTGCCAATGCCAATGGTGTTCAAGTGGTGTTCCAGTTGTTTTGGGATTGCACCCAAGGAGCCTATCACTATTGGTACTACCCTTGCTTGCTTTTGCCACAGTCTTTCTATTTCTATTTTTAGGTCTTTGTATTTTGTTATCTTCTCCAGTTCTTTATCTTCTATTCTGCTGTCTCCAGGCACTGCCACATCCACTATCCAGACTTTTTTGTCTTTCTTATCGACAATTGTTAAGTCTGGGGTGTTATGTTGCAGGTGCTTGTCTGTTTAAATTCTGAAGTCCCAGAGCAGTTTAATTTTATCATTTTCTATGACTTTCTCTATTTTATGATCCCACCAGTTTTTGCTTACAGGCAAATGATATTTTTTGCAGATCTTCCAATGCACCATTGTTGCTACTTTGTCATGCCGCTGCTTGTAGTCAGTCTGTGCAATCTTCTTGCAACAGCTTACCAGGTGGTCCACTGTTTCTTCAGCTTCTTTGCATAGGCGGCACTTACTGTCTGTTGCTGTCTTCTCAATTTTGACTTTATATGCCTTTGTCCTTAAGGCTTGGTCTTGTGCAGCCAGAATTAGTCCCTCGGTCTCTTTCTTCAATTTTCCTGCTCTTAGCCATTGCCAGGTCTTGTTAATATCTGCTTTCCCAGCTATTTTTTAATATATTGGCCATGTAGTGCTTTGTCTTCCCATGCCTCTATTCTGTTCTTCATTTGGTCTTTCTTGTAGGCCAGTTTGGTCTCTCCAGTAGTCAGTAAGCCTTCCTGATATACTAATTTCAGTGCATCTTCATCATTGTTCTTCAGATATTCTTCCAAAGCCATTTTTTCTTCTTCAACCATCTGATGTACTTGTAGCATTCCACGCCCACCTATTTGCCTTGGTAGATAAAGTCTATCAATGTCACTGCGCGGATGAAGGGCATGATTCATTGTCATTATTTTTCTGGTCTGCCTATCCATTGCTTTTAGTTCTGCTTGAGTCCAGTCCACTATTCCAGCTGTGTACCTAATGACTGGGATTGCCCAGCTGTTGATTGCCTTTATGGTATTTCCTCCATTGAGTTTGGACTTTAAGATCTTCTTCACTCTCTTGATGTATTCACCTCTAATCTTTTTCTTGACTTCAGTGTGCTTGATGTTGTCAGCTTGAAGGATACCCAAGTATTTGTAGTAATCTTTCTCATCCAGACTCTTAATGTTATTTTCGTGGGGCATCTTGATTCCTTCAGTTTTCACTACTTTTCCTTGTTTGATAGTAAGTGTGGCACATTTGTCCAAGCCAAACTCCATAACAATATCTTGGCTATATATACGGATTGTTGAGCATCATCATCATCATCATCATCATCATAATCATCATTATTATTATTAATCATCACACAGTCAGCCAGATGTTCAGACTGGATTTGGCATTTTGTCTACCTATCGAGTCCTTACCCAGGACCTGGGATAGGCAGATGTGGATGTTTGATGGTATTACAGATAACGTCGCAGGATGGAAGCAGTTCCTAGTAAGGCCGCCTTTTGCAATTGACTAATAGCAAATTTGTCAATGCCAATGGTGTTCAAGTGGTGCTCCAGTTGTTTTGGGATTGCACCCAAGGAGCCTATTACTATTGGTACTACCTTTGCTTGCTTTTGCCACAGTCTTTCTATTTCTATTTGTAGATCTTTGTATTTTGTTATCTTCTCCAGTTCTTTCTCGTCTATTCTGCTGTCTCCAGGCACTGCCACGTCCACTATCCAGACTTTTTTGTCTTTCTTATCGACAATTGTTAAGTCTGGGGTGTTATGTTGCAGGTGCTTGTCTGTTTAAATTCTGAAGTCCCAGAGCAGTTTAATTTTATCATTTTCTATGACTTTCTCTATTTTATGATCCCACCATTTTTTGCTTACAGGCAAATGATATTTTTTGCAGATCTTCCAATGCACCATTGTTGCTACTTTGTCATGTCGCTGCTTGTAATCAGTCTGTGCAATCTTCTTGCAACAGCTTACCAAGTGGTCCACTGTTTCTTCAGCTTCTTTGCATAGGCGGCACTTACTGTCTGTTGCTGTCTTCTCAATTTTGACTTTGTATGCATTTGTCCTTAAGGCTTGGTCTTGTGCAGCCAGAATTAGTCCCTCGGTCTCTTTCTTCAATTTTCCTGCTCTTAGCCATTGCCAGGTTTTATTATTATCTGCTTTCCCAGCTATTTTTTTAATGTATTGGCCATGTAGTGCTTTGTCTTCCCATGCCTCTATTCTGTTCTTCATTTGGTCTTTCTTGTAGGCCAGTTTGGTCTCTCCAGTAGTCAGTAAGCCTTCCTGATATATTAATTTCAGTGCATCTTCATCATTGTTCTTCAGATATTCTTCCAAAGCCATTTTTTCTTCTTCAACCATCTGATGTACTTGTAGCATTCCACGCCCACCTATTTACCTTGGATGATGATGATGATGATGATGATTATTATTATTATTATTATTATTATTATTATTATTATTATTATTGGATCATCGCACAGTCAGCCAGATGTTCAGACTGGATTTGGCATTTTGTCTACCTATCGAGTCCTTACCCAGGACCTGGGATAGGCAGATGTGGATGTTTGATGGTATTACAGATATCGTCGCAGGATGGAAGCAGTTCCTAGTAAGGCCGCCTTTTGCAATTGACTAATAGCGAATTTGTCAATGCCAGTGGTGTTCAAGTGGTGCTCCAGTTGTATTATTATTATTATTATTGTTATTATTTTATTATTTTACTTCCTTATATTTATTTACTAAAGTATATCCAACTCACCTCTGTGTTGGAATAGTAGGTGTTCCAAGTAGATCGCAGATTTTCCTGACCACCAATATCCCACATTAGGAAATGTGTCTTGTGCTGGGTGATTTCTTCCACATTGCTTCCAATCGTAGGCGATGTATGCACAACTTCATTCATTAGGCTGATGGAAGACCAAAACCATACGCTGCTTTGTTAATGTCCCACCCTCCACATACATTTCTATCTTCAAAAAAAGGCCAAGATTTTTGAGACAGTTAAGCCTTTAAATTACCTATGTTCCATAGGATTTGGGATAATTGAAACAATTACTGGAAAAAGTACACAGAGGGACTAGTATAATAATCTTGATTCTTGTTTTGGGGATAGAAAGAAATAGAAGAACAGGGATGCTATAAATCTCTCATGTCCCTTGAACAACAGTTGAAATAAGCATTATGTGGCCCTTCTCTATCCTTTTCGAATACTCCAAATAGCTTGTTCCAGATTTTTAGCCTTGATTTGGCATTTTTGTCCGCCTATCATCCTCCCCAAGGGCCTAGGATAGGCAGATGTGGTTGTTTAAATTATTAATTTATTAATAGTGAATATTGAAATATAACATATATAGTATTAAATAACATTATGATTCTTGTTTATTGCACAGCCAAGCCATGTCAGATGGGAAAAAACTGGTCCACACGTGAAGATTTAATGTAACTGATTTATTGCTAAAAGCCTATGCTGTCAGTATCTAGTTAGAACTAGATCAGGTTCAACAGCAGTCAAAGGAGCTGGACCTATTTCATTCATGGCTACATAAGAATACTGTACTGATCCCTCTTTTTAAGCCTCTCCCTGGCTCTGCCATTCCTTCTCCTATAGCCAGACATTTAAACTAAATTTAGCATTTTTATCCATTATCAAATCCTTGCCAATTATCAGGGATATTATTATTGTTTTAAATGGCAAAAGGTATCTTTTTTCTAGATCCCCCCCCCAAAATTGAGAAATGTGCTCATATGTGTTTCATACATGATTGATGGTTGTATCCTAAAGGGAATATATATATAAAATAGACACTCAATTGTAATCCATCAAATACTTTTAGAATTCGAATATCGACCTAGACTACTGTATTACAAAAGGGCCACAATTTAGTTGTAACACGCAAAGTATGTTCTAATATAGTATCTTTGAAACTTGGCAGCTTTAAAATGTGTGGATTTCAATTCTCAGAATTCCCCAAACCAGCATTTAAAAAGAACGGTTCCACTTTATAAGTCCAACTATAGATTAAACCAAGACAATTGGTTTTTTTTGTGGCCAAAGTCACTCTTTTTTTAGCATGAGTTTTCCAATTGCTGAGAACTTTGGGGAAGAGATGTGCAGTAGTGACACAACGATATCAGTAGAGAATAGACATGGATGTTTCTTAACTTTGGAGTTTCAGGTTTCATTTTTAATAGATTTACTGTTAAATTTATTGCACTGTAATAATTTAGAGGTTTTCTACAATTTTTTGATGGTATGACTCCGGAAAATTTGGGAACTGCAAAGAAAAAAAAAGAAAGAAAATGTATGCAACTCAGGATATGAACCACCTAGCCTGGATTAAACTCTGTTGCAAAGGGAACAAAACAAGAGATTTATTTAAACTAGACATTGGATACTGAGAAAGGAGAAAGACCAGACACTCACAACTGGTAAAGGATGGTGGTTTTTCCAGCATTGTCCAGTCCAATAATTATCACTTTATGCTCTAGAAGAAGAGAAAGTACGATATGTCAGAGTTAATGTAGAAAAATATAATTGCTATTTCTTTAATTCACCTATAAACTGAATTTTTACTGCAACAATGCAATTGAAGAATAGACTGAGGGAATGTTTGC